GTCCCCAATTATTGATGCACTGATCAGAAACAATTGGAAGATGATATATCTCCAGTTTCCTTGCATCTTTCTTTCAGCAACCTGACGTTTACATAGGAAAGCTAAACAACCAATTCAATTCTCTCATCTTATTTTCTATATTCTTGTCTTGGTTGTGTTTGGTATGTCAAAGATGAATAAAATAACAAAAGAGTTGTCAAAATATGGCTGAAATTGATCCAGAAAATGAAATGTATTACACTAGATTCATACTAGGTATGGTGCACACTACATCAAAAATCAATCTATGCTATACATTCATCTTCCGGGTTTCTACTTTTTCTGTTTGATCATAAACAAATTCTGGGTATTGACATTTCCATCTGAATCCCTACAGGCATTAGCATAGGCATATCACTACTACTTATTGGTGGCTCCTGGCTATATTGGGGATCTAAGCAGAGGAAGATCGCCAACCTTAGAGAAAAATTATTTCAGCAAAATGGTGGTATCATGTTACAAGAACTTTCCAAACATGAAGGATCAGTCCAGTCAGCAAAAATCTTTACTGAAGAGGATCTAAAGAAGGCAACAAACAACTTCAATGAAAATAATGTCCTGGGAAAAGGAGGCCAAGGAATAGTCTACAAAGGAGTATTACCAGATAACACCATAGTTGCCATTAAGAAGCCCAGAGTAGCTGATCAGAGTCAGTCCCAGATTGAGCAATTCATTAATGAAGTCATAATTCTCTCCCAAGTCAACCATAGAAATGTTGTGAAGCTCCTAGGGTGTTGCTTGGAGACAAAAGTTCCTTTCCTTGTCTATGAATTTATTACCAATGGGACTCTCTATGACCACATACACACTGCATGCCAAAGAGCATCCTCAATCACATGGGAGAATCGCCTAAGAATAGCAGCGGAAACTGCAACAGCCCTTTCATATTTACATTCTGCCGCTAGTACTCCTATCATTCATAGAGATGTTAAGACTGCCAACATACTCTTAGATGACAATTACGTTGCTAAAGTGTCAGATTTTGGCTCTTCAAGGTTGACCCCTGTTGACCAAATTCAGTTAGCGACACTTGTTCAAGGGACACACGGTTACTTGGACCCAGAAAGCTTGCAAACAAGCCAATTGACTGAAAAGAGTGATGTTTACAGCTTTGGGGTTGTCCTTGTGGAATTACTAACGGGCAAGGAGGCAATTTCTTTCGATAGGTGTGCAGCAGAGAGAAATTTAGCGATGTATTTTATTTTAGCCATGAAAGAAGACCGCTTGTTTGAAATTGTGGATGAACAGGTGAAGAATGAAGCAAAAGCTGACCAGCTAAAGGAATTTGCTATTTTAGCAAAGGGATGCTTACGAGTGAAAGGAGAGGACAGGCCAACCATGAAGGATGTAGCAATGGAGCTGGAGGGATTGAAAATGACGGAGAAACATCCATGGGTAAACGACAACAAAGGTTCAGAAGAGAGCCAATACTTGCTTGAAGATCTACTTTCAGATGCTTATGATGGTGAAACTAGTACGAGGAATTCAACAATTTATGATAGCATCACAAACCCCAACATTTCACTATGTAATGGTGGACGATAAGGTGTTTCTGGTGGCAGTCTACGTTCATTAGATGTTGTTTTGTAATGTTTTCATTTTAGATTTGTCAAACAATCCCTGTGAGTTGTTTTGGACTTTTGATTATATATGTTATTGAGGTTCAATTTGTTGTGGTTTTAGACATACTGGTTGTTTAGGAAGGTAGTTATCAATGCAAAATCTTTCTTTATATATCAGATAAACTATGAAATATGATAATTTTACTTAGTTGAAACACATCTATAGATACTAAATATGAAGCACCATCCATACCCCTTCTATCTTTTCATTTCCTCATCACAAATAGATTTTGATTTTTATCACTGTTTAAAGTCTAGCCGATGCTGTGGGATTAGATAATAAGTATGCTTAGAAGTGAAAGGCGACGAAAGGCCAAGCATGAAGGAAGTAGCAATGGAGCTAGAGGGCTTGAGAATGACAGATAAACATCCATGGGTAAATGACATCAAAGATTCCGAAGAGACCCAACACTTGCTTGGAGATCAACTCTTAGATGCTTATGGCGGTAAAACTAGTATGAGCAATTCAACAGTTTATGACAGCATGACAAACCATGGCATTTCATCATTTAATGGTGGACGATAAGGTGTTTCTAGTGGTGGTCTCCGTTCATTATATGTTGTTTGTAATGTTTTTATTTTATCTTTGTCAAATAATCCCTGTGAGTAGTTTTGAACTTTTGATTATATGTGTTGAGGTTCAATTTGTTGTGATTTCAGGCATAGTGTTTGTTTATAACGGTAGTTATCAATGCAAAACCTTTCTTTATATATCAGATAAATTATGAAAAATGATAATTTTACTCAGTCAGAGCACATCTACACATGTACTAAATATGAAGCACCATACATACCCTTTTTGACTTTTCATTTCCTCGTCACAAACTGATCTTGATTTTATCATCATTTAAAGTCCAACTGATGCAGTGGTATTGGATAATTAGTGTTTAAGTCACTAAAATAATGTCAAATGGATTGGAATGAAAAGATCATTTTCTTAAGCTCTAATGGAATGACCATTCCAAATTCTACAGATTCATTGTAATTCTGTCGAACATCCCAATGTTAAATGAAAAACAACTAAAATTTTGAGATTCTAATTTGTGATTATGTTTCAATTTTAAATAATGAGTAACAATTCTAATCAAACAATCAAAAACAAATCGACACAATGATTTAACGTGGAAAAAATCACAATTGGAGCACCTCCAATTTTGATATTAGAAAAAAAAATCACGGGCCAAAGCCATAAAACAATCTACTAGGAAGGCAAAAAGGAATTATACAAGAGTACTTTCAATTGCCTAATGAATCTAAACTTGAATTAAACCAAATCCGATGTGCCTCTTCCACCTCAGAATTGTTTTGTCGAACGTTGAATCTAAAATGCTGATGTTGAATTTACGACAATGAGCCACTTCGGAATCTACCAAAGCTTCAGGCTCAAGTTTTTTGGAATCCACCGAAAAACACCTCTCTTTTTGTGAACGAAATAATAAGAACAACTCTTGATGTTTGACAATTTGTAGTTCGTTGACCAATTACCTTCTACACACTAAGCAAACTCAAATAAAACAGCCTCCAATAGAAAACACTTTGTCTTTTCTTTCTCTCTAAGATTCTGGACGGCTTAAACCCTGAAAATTGCAAACGGCGCTCTTTATAGAAAACAAAGCTACAAATACTGCTTGAGTGACCACTCAATTGCTTAAGCAAACTCACTAAAACGCGTGCCCATCGCTCGAGCCAAGACGCCACTGCTCGAGCGCTTAAAGGATTCTCTCAAAAGTTCAACCTACTCTGCAAAAATACTAGATGATGCCATTCACTACTCAAGCACACAAATGACCACTCGAGCAAAGTGGCAGACATGAAAACCTTAAGTTCCCAAACTCCTTTGCATAGGCACAATTCAGATTGGATTCACATCTAAACACTCACATCATCACTGAAATATAAGAGTGAATAAAATTACAACTAAATGGAGTACTGTCAAACGGAATTGTCAATAACAAAAACCTAACATTAAACAAATTGGTCATGACCTAAGGATGTTCTACCAAAACTGCTTGGACAACCTTAATTTGTTTGGTAAATTAGGGTTCTAGAAAACTGTTACAAATATTTTTTTATTCCCCTTTTGTGTGTTCCATGCAACGTCTTTTTGTTGTTGAAGCAAAATTTGCAGCAAACTTGAATCGTTTAGGTTATGCCGAGATCTTGGATTGGAGAAGCGATTTGTGAAGAAAATTGAAAAGATAGAGGAAAAGTAAAAAAAAAATTATATATTTTTCACTTTTATCTTGTCTTGAACTTTCTTTCTAAAATCTTTTTGCAAATAAAAAATTCAAAAATTTTCATGTTTTTGTACATAACTGTGAAGTTTTATGAAAGTTGACAAACTTGTCAATTTTGTAAAAACTTGGAAATTTCTCAGTTCAACGAAACAACTCAAAGAAGTGGGAACCAAAAAGGCTTAAGGTTGGTTTGAGATGTTCTAAAAAAGTGTACTTTTTGACTTATTGGCTTATATGGGTTGGGTTTAGGTTGGGTTTGATGTGATGTGTTAGAGAGGTGATGTGATTTTAATAAGATGATGTGACTTAAATAGGATAGTAATTTTTTGACTTTTTATATTATTTAGTTTATGCCAAACCAACCCTTAGTTAGGATAAAGGAAGGGCATCTTTTCGCAATTGAATGCTAGGCCTTACCATCCTACTTGGAGCAAGGATCCTCTAGAGTTTTTTTTTCCTAAAGTTTCCTAGAGTGGTGCATTGTGTGGTTGAGATTTAATGACAAGTCACATCAATTTTTCAGCATTAAATCTCAACCACACAATACACTACTTTAGGAAACTTTAAAAAAAAAAACACTCTAGAGGATCCTTGGTGTTTTCTAACATACTTAGTCCCCCAATTTTCTATATTTCCTGATACAGTAATGGATTGAATTTGATAATGACCAAACCCCAGCCAACCTAAAGAATCTGAGATGGGAACAAAATGTTAAAAACTCAAATAAATGAGTCTAAAATAATAAGAAGAGGGGTTGCTTACTTTAAATGAGCACCTATCTTTGTGTGGTTTGAGTACTTTTGGAAAATCCCACAACAGAAAAACAAGCAATGCAGAACCCTATAGACAACATAAAAAATTAAAGTGAAATCTCTGAGTTCATATTCCCTTCTCTTGTGCAAAGATTTGATTCTGGGCAGTATTAGTTTTATTTATTTTATTTTTGAAAAATTTTATTTGTAGCTTAAAGTTCACACTCTTGTGTATCTTTTTTTTTATAATTATTATTTTTTCCCCTCTCTGCATATCTAATATTTTTATTATATATATATATATATATATAAATTCTATATTAAAATGATTGGTGACCAACAGTGTGTGATTAAAACTCCCATGCATTCACCCAAACACAGCATATGCTTCCTATATATTCTTCAAAACATGGGCATCACTTTTTTTTATCAGTGTTTCTTGTCTATATGAGTGATTCTGCATATTTCTTTGATCGATATTATAAAATTAATGAAGCTAAGTGTATATTAATTATTGTTTATTTAAGATTTAATCCCAGATAAAGATTATGATAAATGATGAGAAAGAGGATTTGGCTTTTGGCTGCAATAAAATCACATTTCTGCTTCTTTGTTGTCAAGATTATGTTGCTAGTTCACAAGTTTTGTATTGGCATCTAGGTAGTGATTGCAAACTTTGTGGTCATAATTAGTTTAAGGATTTTTGTTAACAAGTGTTTTACTGATATTTGTTCCACTTCAAGATTCTTGATGGTGCAAAGTTGAAAGTGGCTTTTGAGAAAGCTAAAGTTAGGAAAATATGAGTCTTGGATTAGGCAGAAGTGACATATCATGCTTACCAGAAGGTTCAAGATGTTTCTCTGCTTCATTTTGTATGGTCTTTTGAGCCTTCTTTTCTAACAGTTGAGCTTGAAATTAGGAAACAGAGGAACGTAGCTTTTTCAGTTTTGATATTTCAACATGTATTTTGGAAACAAAACTCAGATCTCTCAACAATTTCTCTTCTGCAGCCTTGGCAGCATGACAAATGTTGATGTAAAAATCGATGGTGGCTGCTGCCTGAGATAAATGACTTGAAACAGTCATGTCGGATTACTCAACAATCTTGCAGCACTGGAGGAAGTCATTTTTTATTATAGGCCTCTGTAAGGCTTCAAAAGGAATCCTCGAAAAGGATGTTAGCAGCTCTAGGCAACTGTCTAAGTCTATTGGAGGCAATGAAGTCTTTGTATTTTATAATTTTTTTCGTCTTTCAAAATTGTCACCATTTTTTTTTTTTGGGGGTCTAAACTCATGAACTTCACATTTAAATCAACTTGATTCCACTGTATTGAGATGGAAAGTGGACTTGTTTGTTTTCATCTCCTGGAAATTATTTTGTGGATAGGTTGCACCAGATTGTCACTTGGGGTACCTATTAGCTTCAGTTTGACAAATCCTTTAAACTATGTTTGTATTATGAATTTTGACAAAGATTTAAAAAAAAAAATAAAAAGATGAGTGAGATGTTAAGTTTTCAAACTGTTGGATTGAAGGCGATCCTTTCAAGTGGTGTACTTTCATAAAATTTTATTACCAAATCAAACCTCCTAAAATGATTTTCTCCCTGAATTTTTCTTCTCCGAATTTCCCGATTGCCCAAAACGACGTCGTAGTTTCCCTTTTCTTTTCTTTTTTTTCTTCCCTCCAGTCTGAAACGCAGAGAGGGAGAGGGAGAGGGAGAGAAAGAGAAAGAGAGAAAGAGAGGGGAAGAGGCCGTCGCCAATCGCCGATCCCCGCACCTCCACCTCCGCCTCCGCCGCGCCTCCGTCACCGATCGCCGCGCCTCCACCCTAGCCCGATTTTGTTATCCCCTCCAGTTCTTCTTCTTCTTTTTTTATTTTCTTCTTCTAAAAAAAAAAATAAAACGACGAAACGACGTCATTTTGATTTCGAGGAGGTTCGAGGAAGGGCAGATTTGAACTACATAGCTACATAGCATTATTGAATGTTGAAGAAAAAAAAACACAAAACAAGATAGACAAATAAGTCATCCATATCCAATTGGATTCCAAAGTCA